AAGAAAGATTTTTAAATGTGGGGAAAAGGAAAGTTGTTAGTAGGAAAGGCAGATACTGGAGACTTACCAAGGGGCACAGTGGTCAAGGTAATAATGTATTCCCAGTAAACTGTAAGCTACACTTCTTAATCAAATTAAAAATATGCACTAGGCTTGGTGGCCAATGCTTATAATCAAGGCACTTTGGGATGGCCAGGTAGGATAATTGCTTGAGGGCAGCCTGAGCAACATATTAAGACCCAGTCTCTTAAAAAAAAATTATAATTGGCTAAGTATATTAGTGTGTACCTGGAGTGGCTAAAGTGGGAGGATTGCTTGAGCACAGGAGTTTGCGTTTCCAGTGATCTGTGATCATGCCACTGCACTCCAGCCTGAGAGACAGAGAAAAACCCCATTTCTTAAAAAAGGGGAAAAAAATGCAGACAACTACACAGGCTCTCATTCCATTAGAAGCAGGGGTAAAATCTATTCAGAAGGTCATGGCTCCTGGAAGAGTGGGGAAGACAGAGAAGAGAATAGTCTCATTCAGAAGAGAAGAGGAAAAGTCAAAGGAAAATATGGGGATGTGCAGGTACTGTCAGAAGTGAGTTTGGTCCAAATGGAGGCCCACTTGCCAGGACTCAGACAGCAGAGAGGGGCGTGACTGTGGACTCTCACAAACTCCAAGTCCAGAGCTGTTTGTTTCCACAACAAAGGTCTCACTGAGACAAAAATATATTCCTATCTCTGTAGACTGCAAAGATGTCCTCTAGATAAAATAATCAAGAAATCCTTTAAAATGCCCTTAAAAAATTAATTTGATTGACCCAAGAAATAAACTAAAGAATCTGCCTGTCAATAGGCTGAAAAATTACAAAACAGCTGTCAAAGAACCTTCATTTTGCAACAATAGTCTTCTATGAATCTGACATCTAGTTATTCCAGTTAACATAATATATGAAACTCAGAAACTTGGAGATTATGCAGCCAAAGAATGGAATACTAATTCATGACAGCATGTTACAAGAAAAGCAGAAGAGAACAAAACACCACGAAAGTATATAAATTGACCAAATGAGACTGCATATGTTACCATCTTGCATGACAACAGAAACTTATTGATTGACAATTTATATCTAGTTTGCTCCTTTATTCTGCAAATCACAAAAATGGGTTACTATAGCAACTGATACATGCTATTTAGCAAGCTGGGCGGGAGGGGACCCTTAGAGTACTTTGTATGACACAAATATAGCATGTATTTTTATTGTTCCTCCTACCCCAAAAGAAATAATCTCCTGACAGTAGGTCTATTTTCTCATAGCTTTACAAATGAGCTTTCTTTCTCTTGTTTGCATTTATATTATATATACTACCAATTTATGCAAATGAGGAAAAGGAAAAATATCCATATAAACATGAAAGAGAGAGGACTCAGGACAAATTACCTGAGTCACATGAATGTGATAGAGCCATGATATTTTAAAGCATCCCCACTTTCATCATTGACAGCTTTTTTGGCCAATTTAACTCCACTGATTATGTATCAAATCCACACATGCTACTCCCAGAATACACTACAGCTCAATTCTAAATGCGCCCATCAAGGCAAGCTTATTTTTCTGGACCAGAAACAGGAAAAAGTAAGAATAAGAGAAAGTTAACTTTCTTGCAAATATATTCTTAATCTCATGGTAACACATAACATAGTCTGTTCACCAGGACGCTGTACAGGACCTCAGAACACATACTATCAACACTGGTGTACACTGAAGCAGGCAAATTAACATCTCTCTGCTGAATGAAATGGGAAGAATACTCATGCTTTACTACTCATTTCTCAGTTGGGACCTAAAAGAAAAAAAGCAAAGTATTTGTAACACTTTAAGGACCTAACTTTTCTGCAAGAACTCAATTAATAGTCCATAAACTAAGATAACTCTCTTCTCTCTAGGAAGCTCACTAATTTTGAGAAATCTCTCTAAGAAAGATGGTCCATTTAAAAAATAGACAAAGGGAAAACAGACGTGACTTCCACCATCATCACTACTGCCATGTGGAACCTTGTCACCATCCTGAGTTTGAACAAAGCGAGAGTCAATAGGGCAAGGATTGGTAAAGCATGGCTGCTCAAAGATACCAAGGATTCATAATGCAAAAAACAGTAAGATAAAAGAAACTAAAGTCTCCATGTCTGAAAATACTAAGTATCAAGGATGCAGGTAAAAACTGCCCTTACTGATCTTAGAGGGAAAAGTACCTGACTAGACACTGCATTAGCCTTCAGCTGTACACTTAATCATACCAAAGAAATGGAATCAACAAAAAACAGATTCTTTTTTTCACTTTTTCTGAGCAACAATAGAAAACAATCAATTTAAAAATAATTGGAGAAATTTGTGTTTTGTTAGAAGAGTAAAGGAAAACATTCATTGAACAGTACCACATAGAATCATTTGCTTAATAGCATTTCTAATATGTTATGCATTTATTCAATCTACTTCTTTCTATATTAAAATGCAAAAACAATTACTCTGGATGTAAATCCTAGAAAACAATCAAAGTTTCTATTAAATCAGAGAAGAGACAGTTAAGCTGCAATGAGATTTGCAGATGCTCATGAATAGACAATACTTAGATTATCTCTTAGTAGAATGTGAAAAAGAATGGTGGTAGAGATTCAGAAATACCCTTCCTTCCCCTATCTTCCTTTCTCTCTTCCCTTCCCTTCTTCCTTGTTTCTTTCTTTACCTTTTTCTTCCTTTCTTTTTAGATAAACTTTGAAGAAGTGTATTATTTAAAATCTAATAATTTGAGGGATATAGTCATGTAAAATTGTGCTATGTATAATACCAGGCTTAGAGAAGGCAGAAACTTCCTTTTGACACTGTGGTACAAATAGTTTAGAGTCAATTGATCAGTCACAGGAAAATATGGGCCTACCTCCATTGCCTGTTTAAAAAAAAAAAACAAAAAACCTCTGGGTAGTTCTTTGTTTACTTACATTAAAGCCATTTTGTTCATTAAAAACTCAAAATAAACACCTTGAGAAAAAGGCAATGGATTATGAAGTAATGAATAAATACATTCAGTGCACATATAACAAGCATTTCTTTATTTTATTTTATCTGAATGGAATTTTTAAAATTTCCATGCTTTAACTGGGGAGCTACTGAACAATAATCTCAAATATGAGATTCATTAAATGTGTTTCATGCTCTGATTAAATGTCAAGGCCACAAATTTGTTATTTTCAGATCTAGTGAGCAATAACTTTGTTAGATAATAATAAAATCTCCAAAATTCATTTGCAACATCCAGGTGTCCATTTGAAAGCTGAGTCAAACTTTCAATCCTGCAGATAATGTTATAGAATTTAGTCATACAAAGCTTAAATTTATAAGTAAATTTCACGAGTTTCATATGTGCTGCATGGACTCTCCCTTCCTTTCCTGAAACTTAAAACCAAAAATATTTGCAATCTTAACTCACACCAGTTATTTGTTTTGATTTGCATCAACTATTTTCATTCACAGAGTACACATGAATTTCTTTACAACATCAGTGTTTTCCTCCCTAAAGTACACTGTCTTCTGTAAGTATCATTTTCCAGGACAGTACTAAAGTCTGAACTATAGTCTAGACTTTAATAAAGATGCAACCTTATATTTTTGAGGTAATGATTACTTTCCATATCAGCTGATAACAAGCACAAGTCTGAGCTCAAGACTCACAAACCAATGCTCAATTATCCTAAAGTTATGATTACTCTTTCTGGCATTGTTATTGCATTTTACATTAATTTTAGAAGTCTGTGGCACTTCCAGCCATTGAGAACATATTACAACTTAATTTACATTGCTTCTTATGTTTTCCAAGTCAAAACACTAGAAAAGCTAAAAAAGAAAAAAAAAAATGTATGCCTTACACCCTCACCACACTATGCTGTTACTAAAGGTATAATTTATAAAAATCAATTGAAAACCACACCTTAAGTGAAAAGATAGGTAAACAGAATATACCACTTCCATTACTTTCCTTGTAATAGACTTATTCAAGACACTACAAGGATAAAAATTAGATTGTTTAAAAAGAATTATAAAACTATTTCCAATCTATATTTAAGTACTTTAGGAGGCTGAGGTGGGGAGATTGCTTGAGCTCAGGAGTTGGAGATCAGTCTGAGCAAGAG